GAACATTGTTCAAATATCTCAACAGTATAATCAGCCTGAATGCACTGAAAGATGAGATGGTGCATAATTGCAGAATCGTATCTATCCTAGGATCTTTAGTCCTACGCTCTCAACATTGAACTTCACTCTATTCTACAAGTACGTTACTTTCTCGCTGAAAAACCTCCTTTCACCTCAGTTGGGACATTCACTCGTTATCTTCGCAATGTTCCATAAATCTTAATCTTCGTTTGTTATAGTTCTCCTTAATATAGTAGGAAACTTCATTTCTAAGCATTTGCTGAAATCATAGCATTAAGGGTTCCTCTCACAATATCGTCAACTAAGATACTGTTGACGTCTCTCTAAGATTCGTCACATTTTTCGAAAACGCAATGGGATTTTCGAGGTCTCTAAAACTCCTTTTTGGGTTTTCTAGAATACACTTCGTTTAGCGAGTTATCTGTAGATCTGTAAATATACCATCGCCACAAGAAAACTTCATCTACACACAATTCAATCAATGGATTCACATCAGAATGACTAAAATCATTGTGTCTAAACATTTGTTCATCACTCTCATTATTACAATCAATAGAATGATCAAATGAGAAACTGAGCGGAATACACATATCCGAATTCATAACGAAATCCACACATAGGATCAGATTCGCTGGGTGACTGTTTCGCAAGGTGGTCTAAGTGGCCGAAATGGTGAAAATAGTCAAGATCGCTAAAATCTTCATTTTTTATAGTTCTTCTTAATATAGTAGGAAACTTCATTTCTATGCATTTGCTGAGTTCATAGCATTAAGGGCTCCTCTCACAATACCTTTTGCAGCCTAAATTCGTCACTCGAAAAAATTTGTGTAAAGACACAAAAAAAAGTATTTTCTCAGTGTTCCCAAGCTTTACCCAGTCACCGATTTAACTAAGTAAAACGGTACATAGTTTGTACGAAACCTTAAAAAGGTATATAGATGGTGACAAAAGTTTAAGCCCTTTTTAGGGTATGGTAGTTAGAGTATGGTGGAAAGAAAATACTGCGGTTTTGAAGTGCGTGTTTTATTGCTGAGGGTACCGTCGAAAAATATGACTTCTGTAAGGGATACAGCAGAAGACTGTCCTAAAATTCGTAAACGATAGACACATTAGAAGACCCCGGGTCTTCTAATGTATTCATTTCTTTACACTATGTTAGCCTTGACCAGGCACGGGTGATAAGGCAAACATAGTATATCACGTCTTTTCTATCATAAAATTATTGATAAGGAAAGCAGAGTTTTTTATTATTATTATTATTGATTTATCATAAGTGCGGTTGTGCCATAAAAAGTCAAAAGTTTTTTAATTCATCGATATACATCACTAAAATTGATTTTTTTCTCATTTCCTGCACCTGTACAATTGTAGAAACCATATCTAAATTATTCCTTAACATACACACATACGAATAGAAGGACATGGCCTTCTGTTATGTCTCAGCGGATCATAGTTTTTAGAATGGCCTTTTATTAGGTGCGGCCTTCTAATATGACCTTCTAATTATATACAAAGTTATATACAAAGTGAAGCACTGTTCGATGAATATTTACGCAATTATGATAAATTTTTCTGAACTATTTTGTCTGTCAATAACTAGAAGTCTCCAGAGGGCAAAAGTCTTTTTAGCTGAGTGTCACACTCAAGAAGTGATACACTATGTTTGCCTTGACAAGACACGGTTGACAAGTCAAACATAGTATATTACATCTTGTCTATCATAAAAGTTATGATACGTAAAGCAAACTTTACTATGGCACAACTGCGCTTATTATAAATCAATAATAATAATAATAATAATAAAAACTTTGCTTTGCTTATCATTAATTTTATGATAGAAAAGACATGATATACTATGTTTGCCTTATCAACCGTGCCTTGTGAAGGCAAACATAGTGTATCACTTCTTGAGTGTGACACTCAACAAAAGGAAAACAACAAAGAAAGCTTCTTTTATTATATGCGTTGTATGTAACAATTTTATTAAAGAAGTCATTTACTATACATCATTATAAATCATTTCGCCATTAAATTACCAGTACGCCTGCTCACAGACACGCTCGCGTTTCTGATTGTAAGAAAAGATTCCAGTTGCTGAACAAGACAGAAGTGGCGTGTAGAGCTGGTTTTGAAGGGTGGACGACATCTTGGATCTCCTCTGAGTAAGCCATTTCGAAATAAGTATGAAATGAGAAGGTCAATACAGCCGCTTTGCCAGACTTGGCGATTAACAGAAAACTAGAATTGAACACGCATAGAAACGCCATCAGAGCATGTTAAGTGTTTTTACGATGGCCTTTTGTTAGGGGAGGTCTTCTAATCTGATCTTCCAACCGAAATTTTCTAAAAGCTTCGAAACCCGTAGAAATCGTAAAATAATGATTTTTTTCGTTTCTCAACTATTAACTAATTGATGCTTTAGGTCACTGAACAACTGAGAACTCGGATTTTAGACTGCTGACCGAAAACAGTCAGATGAAAGCTCGTTATGCAGGCAATTAAGCTGTTGTATAATCTGTGCTACTGAATATTTTCCAATTCTGTGCGCATCTGACATCTCCTGTTCATCAACATCAGTTACGAGGATCAGTATACTTCTTGATCAGTTTCTATCAATTTGAGCGTGATGTAATCAGTCGAGATGACTGAATCAATTACACTTCTCTATGTTCGATGTTAGAGTTATTCAATAGAAGAGATAATTAACAAAGAAGAGTCATACTCTCTACTTTTGTCACAAACCCTTCTGCAAAAATTCCAAGAGCCAAGACTGAAAACATGCATAATTTTACAGTTTCTAGAAGTCAAATGCTAAAAGTTTTCGAAAAAAGTGGCATGGTCATATTAGAAGGCCATAGCTTTTTAATATGGATTTTACAGAACTGTCTCATAGGTAGCCTTATATTCTGGGTAGTCTAATTCATTCAAAAAAGCAAAACACTTACTTTGGCTTGGCAAGGTCAGTTAAATGTTCTAGTAGTTTTTCAAAAGGTAACACTTTTGAAAAAATGAAAGCGTATCTTGAGATAAAACGTGTATTATCTTCTTATTATTTATATTATTAGCTATTATTCATTGAAATCTGTATGTTTTGTAAATTTATAACTTTTCTGTGTATTATCCTTGGTCACTATTATGTGACTCCGTGCGGTATTATTACACACATAGAAGTATCTCATCGTGCACAAGATTTATGGAATCACCGATCAAATTATCAATTACTTGTACGAAAACATCAAGATGCGCTTCAAGCTGGTAGTCCTTATCCAGATGTTATGTATGACAAACTCTGTTATAATGGATATTTACATTCTGTTGCTGAAAATACGCATTGGTGAGTGCACTACTCGAAAATGGAAACGTGTTGCTGCATTTCTGATACTTTTCTTTTTCCTCTGTATGAAACACGCGCAACCTGATTTTCCGAATGAGTACACGAACTAACGTATCATTGAGTCACATTCTATGTTCAGGACGCTTCATTCGTAAATTTATCGGTAATGCATAGAAACGCGTACTAAAATTTACCCCCAATAGATAAACAAGCACTGTTGGTTAGAAATGTAGCAGCGACAGTAAGGAAGAAATATGGCGGTTTTCGACAGGTTAAAACACGTTCACTAACGCGTAAGTCCGTTTATTAGCGACGAGTTCTTATGAAGATGTCTTTGATATCTGATGTATACGATTTCTGAAACATTTATGAATCGCTAAATTCTCTAAAAGCCACCTCACAAGCTAGCTTTACATTTACCGATAAAGTTGGATCCTTGACTCGAGTGTGATTTCATCAGCAGGATCGGACATATCCGGAAAATGTTGACTATCGTTTTCGTATAATTAGGCTCCGCGATCTTGAAGGCTTTAGATATTGCGCTACATTCCTTGTACGAGAATTTCCACTTTTTCACATTTTTTCAAGGTATCCATTCATGAAAACAGCAATTGACTATTTGAGACAAGTATATCCACCACCGTTAAAATCAGGACAAACTGATGGTGAAAAATTACTTGTATTCTTGTTGGGAATTGCAGCTCATCAGATATCTGACGCTGTGTGGCACGGAAGTCTTACTGGGTGTCCGAATGGCTTCATTGATGCAAATGCGTGGAGCGACTTCTATGGTGATCGTAATCAGGCTCATTCAAGTGCAGATCTTGGAGGCGATTCAGTAGCAGATTATGAACTACCAATAGGCTACATTGGTCTCGTTGATAATTGGTATACACCAACACAACATTTACAAATGATCTATAGACAATATGCCAATATCTTTCACTCACCAACAGAATTAAACGCTACAGCTGAACGCGTACAAGCATGCAGTACTTTAACATTTATTCAACGTTTTCTTGCAAATCTATTTCTTGGTAAAGCATATTCACATTATTCAAAAACTAACACACTTCTGTTAGATGAGTTTTATAATTACTATTATGGAGGCATCGAAAATATGGTACGTGAAACACTTCGTTATTGGGATATAATCATTGATATGTATGAGTACGGAACAGATATTTGTACAAACGGCAATAGAAATCCTTATTATTTAAATTGTACAAATAATTTTCAACGACAAATTTCATATCTTGAACAAAAACAATCAATATCATATATAAGAACTGTAACACATGGTACTCGTCTACCATTTACATCTCAGACTTTACCTTTAGCAAAAAAGTTAGAATACACAGAAATTGATAGGGGTTTAATCTCAGATCAAAGTTATGCGAATTTTGGTCATTCATCATTAATAGCTGATTTTAATAATGATGGAATTGATGATCTGGGTATGATTGTATATACTCTCTAAATAGTTATGATGATGATCCATTCTTTTCTAGTTGTATCAGCGCCAAATTATTATATATATGGATGTGCTCAAGGTGGCCGTGTATTTATTATTTATGGTCGAGATGAACAACCTATAATTCCAGAACGACATATATCTGTTATTGAACAATTAGCTAACCAGACATTAATTTCTCCATCGTGTGATGGTGATCGTTTTGGTACGTCATTAACAATCATTGATTGGAACAACGATAGTTATAATGATTTAGTGGTTAGTAGTCCATCAAGAGGTTTTGGATTTATTGGCTCAATATTTATTTATGCTGGTAGTGAAAGTGGTTTACAATCATTACCTTATTTACAAATTGATGGCATCAACGAACATGATTCTATCGGATGGAATGTACAAAGTACACATTTCGATGATGATAATATACTTGATCTTTTGATAACAAGTCCATATGCACAAAAAAATGGTTATGATGAACCGCAGCGTGGTGTGGTATGGATCTTTTTAAGCAGCAGACAAGAACAAATGGCGCATTCAGAATACATTCATTTAACAGTAAAAGATGCGACATACACAATATGGGGTGAAATATCAAAATCGAAATTTGGTTATTCAACAACAATTGTTCCGTCATCTTGTACAACAGATAAACAGCCAATATTACTGATTAGTGCACCTAATTATGCTTCACCAAATACGCTACAGAGTCAAGGTGTTGGGAAAATCTATGCTTATACAATTAATGATACAGGGCCACAATTAACATTCACCCTTTCAGGAAACAATATGGATCATTTTGGACATAGTCTATCAATTAGCCAACAACACTGTGTATTAGCTGTTGGAGCACCAACACGTTCGACGTCAAAAATCAATAAAGAATGGACAGGTGCAGTTATTTTATTATCATTTGCAGAATTACTGACAAAGAGTATTTATAAGCGAGAATCTTTATCTGTAAATGCTGTTTCTGTACTTGCTACAATTGTTGGCGAATTACGTTTTCAACGATTAGGTTGGGCTGTAGAATGGTCAACTACATTTGATTTATGTATAACAGCACCACTCGGTACATCTTTATTATCGTCCGAAGGACGTACTTATATAATCAAAGGGGAACGTATTCCATTAAAACCAACATCTGACCCAATTTCAATAACAAAACTTAGCTCAAAAACATTTGTTGCACATGACAGAATGAACCGTTTCGGTACACATTTAAATTTACTTTCATCGCCATTATCAAATTCAACATATTTAGCAATTTCGTCTCCGCTTACAGCTTCAAAACAAGATAATATTCGTCTTCCCGGTACACTCTATATATACAAATTTTAATCCCTGTTTCTTTTTCGTTAATGAAACTACTTTTCAAAATATAGTGTCTTAGATGCTTTTAGAATAATATTTGAATGAAAAATGATTTCGTCCCATGGTTTTACTATTGTGACCATTTTGGTGATCTTGACTATTTTCACCATTTCGACCACTTAGACCACCTTGCGAAACAGTCACCTAGGGTCCTTCCACGAAGGTCCGCCCACTATTACACTCATGATTAGCCGCGAAAATTCCACTTTTTCCATCGTGTAGAGCATCAAAAATAACCTAAAAGTCTCGCTTACTCTTTTTTGAAAAAAACGTGTGGAAAGTGGTTTTCTAGACACCTGAAGTTTTTGGTATATTTTTGGGTATTACTCGAATGTAAAGTGACCAAATCCACACAGACACCAAATTCCGAGGAGGTTTTTCAGCGAGAAAGTAACGTACTTGTAGAATAGAGTGAAGTTCAATGTTGAGAGCGTAGGACTAAAGATCCTAGGA